TCTATCTATCTATATAAATAAAAATGTAATGTTCGTTTGTTCCTACCAATTCTTTTGAAATTTTCACACAATTCGAATACGCACGTGTTTTTATATAATATACATGTTGAAATTCCCCCCACTGGGTGGAGATGAACAGGATTAAGGCTTACTGTAAAGAACTCTGCTTCTATTTCTACTATTTTAGATGCGGGTTTTTGCGTTTTTGATTGCGTTTTAATAGGATACGTCAACAGAATGTACACTAAGAAGGGATTTTTCGAAAAATTTCCTTCCACACGGGGGAAGTGTTATACATTTATAATAGATACATTTTGAGCCACAACAACGCGTGGCGGGGTCTGCTAGTATAGAATGTTTTTAATTATTAAATATCATAACAGGTGGCGGCACACACAATTAAATGTTGCCCATTAAGGTAAGAAACTCGTTGCTGGATTTTTTAAATGAAGTATTACATAAAATTTAATAAAAGCATTTTTAATTAATCAATATGATCATAGTTGAAGTTTGATTACCAGAGAAGATTTCTGAAAAATTTATTGTAATTTTACTAAATGTGTACACTACAAATAATTAAAGAAGAGAATTTATATATTTTAAAACATTTAACATAGAGAATGGAAATTTTAATCACTGTATGAAATACTTTGAATATGTGTATAGTTTTATATACTATATATAAGCGTTATCCAAAAGTCACCTCTACGTAAATATACGAAACATCTTTATTCTAATTTAGATTTATATTTTACTTACGTTATTTAAATATATCAATATTTTTTGGAAGGTTTTGTTTACATTAAAGACGTAAAATACCGGGACGTCAAAAAGGTTTCTCTGTTATTATTGACGCCCTCCTCTTCACTTTTAACCTTGGTAACAGTTCGGGGTTATCGTTATGTACGGACCTAAATCTAGACTTCATGACGTCATAGAAGGAATACGTAAGAATATTCGGATATGGTTCTTTTTTGTGATAATCATTGATACCTTTCTCTAATTTAGAAAATTTATTTTACTTCAATAATTACTTTCCTGGTTGTCGTATATAACCGAGGAAAATATGGCGATTGGAGAAAAAATGACATTTCAAGATTTTTAGTTTTTTGAACTCGTGACCTTAATTAAATTGTCAAAAAATACAAAAAATAGTTCGGAGGAATTTTTCTGTCTATATGGTTATTCGTGTGGGTGTGTGTGAAATGCACTATTTTGTTCACTTTTTCGAAGCAAAATAACTCCTTTGTTTGCTTTCTGCAGAAAATTTTGAAATTTTTAGGAATGTTTCTGTATTGGGAGCATTGATGCAATTCAATTTTGCATCAATGCTCCCAAGGTTAAGAGTCGAGAGGGTGAACAGACAAACGAAGGTCGTGTGTCATATCTGTTTTCCCCCACTGTTTTCTTTTTTTTCTTGGTTAAAGTCCAGACACGTGGATTGCCATGGCGGCTCACCTCTGATTCCAGCAAAGAAAAGAAAAGGAAACAGTGGGGACTCACGTTCTAACCTAACCTAACCTATTCTGATAAATTATCATAATTATTACCAATTATATTATTAGAATAGGTTAGGTTAGGTTAGAACATGTGTCCCCACTGTTTCCTTTCGTTTGCTGGAATCAGCGGTGAGCCGCCAGCGCTGCCGCGGCGCAGTAGCCGCCGCCGTTCGCTCGCGTCGTCACGTGACACGTCGTCTCCAAAGCGGTCTGGTTTCGAGGCTAAAACA